CGATAGTTATTTAGAATGGCTGGATCCAAAGATGGCTTCTTCAGGAGGGGCCTCACCACCGCTGCCTTTAACAGAGGGGGAAAGAAACCCTCCCGAAGGGAGGCGGTAAGTATCGCCTGGATCCAGCCCCGTGTCACCTCCTTGCTGTTCGCGACCAGCCAGGAGGGACACAGATCCAGCGCACACGTGGAGGCACTCACAGCTCCCATGGCCTTGTCCACTTCCTCAGGAGTAACAAGTTGAAAATCAATCCAGAGATGTCGCTCAAGACCCTCCCCCGGTACCTCGGCTGGCTCTGCGCAATTGGAGTCCAGATCTGTCCGAAGCCGAGCAACTTTATCCGTGAGGAATTGGACGAATTCCTCAGCTCTACCTCGCAAAGGATTGCCCGTATCCCTCCCATTCAGGAGGGAGCGGTGGTGCTAGTGTATAAAGTTGAAGAGGGGGCAGGAGAGAAAAACTTGAAATTTTCTTTTAAGTCAACTATCAATAAACAGTAATATACCCTGCTTTTTCTTCAAATGGGGTCAAAATGTGTCCTGTGTCTCCATGGGATGTTAATGAATTTTATTTAAATCTAAAAGAAACTATTTTAACTCTTTTTTTTCTATCTTGGTCTGAAAGACTGAAATAGACCAAAGGGTAACAGTTGTCCTTGACCACATTTTGAGCTTAGAGAGGTGGTTAGAGGTGGAGCCTGGGGGTATTCAGTAGTATGTCTGTAAATAATCATCCACATTATAGAAACTGATATACTTAGTCCTAGCAATACTTAATGTAAATTATTTGAAACCTATTAAACTTTATTCATTTTTAACTTGTAAGTTGCCTTTCCAGATCAAAATCCTCCAGTAAAATAATAATAAAACTAAACACACTGAAACAAAGCAAATTAAGAGTAATACAATTAGATATCAGGTCAAAGAATAAAGCTCATTTTGGCATGTGCTTGGAAAAACAAATGTATAAGATTTCTTGAAAACTGGCAGGTAGATTGATGAGTATGGAAACAATATGGAAAAGGTCTTCTCCCCTAAGTTAATCAACAGCTTTCAAAGCAGAGCAAGGACTTCTGTTCCTGACTTTACAATATAAGCAAGTTGTCACTAGTAAAAGCACATATGGGGGGATCCAAGTTCCATCCATTTAAGGCTCAAAAGTGGGAACAAGCTCTTTGAATTGAATCCAAAAATGTTCTAGTAGCTAGTATATCTGCTACAGTACAGAAGTTAAATATTCTGACTAGTGTATAACATCTTAGCTGCAATTTTCACATGCTGAAATTTCTGGCCCAATGTCTAAGTAGTTCCTACTTGCAGCTAATTACAGTACTTTAATTCAGATGCCACTTCTGCATCCTCTGCAGATAGAGCCACAAATACTGGCCTGAGTTAGTAAAAAAAAAGTATGATTGGCACTGTATAAAATGAAGCTTCTCCAGCTTGAGTATTTCATTGATTTAAATGCCTCTACTTTGAGCCTGGATCCAGTTTTCAAAACTGAAGATTTTATCTGGTCAAGGAATGATATACCATAATGAAAAGTAATCTGAAGATAATTCAGAGAACTGCCCTACATGTCAAGCAAGCTCTTCATTGCATGGTGGTCACTGAATGTACAGTAACACTAAATCATTATGAGAATTATTATGAATTTGTAATGTGCTGATCACTTTCCAAGACTGGATACTATCCTGTATTTATCCTACATAAGAGGAAAGTCCATTGAACTTTAAATAGACATTAAAGAATCACAATACAAACATTTAAAAGATTCAAGCAAATAAGTAAAATGTTTAGATTAATACAGCGTATCAAGGAAAAAAATAACTGATTGGAAACAGAATCCAAAAGAATTAAGTTATTCAAACTTGTAAAGCAACACACTTGAAACAGAACAGTTAATATACATAAAGCCAAAAATATTACTAATTTTGTTAAAATTGCTATATTGTAAAAAGGGAAACTAATTCTTTCTTCTCACTGAGTTGTTTCTTTTGTCAAAATGAATCTTATGCTCCATTTTGAGTCATTGTGAGAAATAAGATGACATCTACAAACCTTTATCTAAAAAGACCATAGAAAACTATGCATTTTTCTGTTTCATACTTTAGTTTTATGATACTAAAGGCTTTTCAAAGGTGAATGTAGTGAGCGTAACTATTATAATACTGGGTATAATCTAATGAGTTTATAGAAAATAATTTTGGTGAATTGCCCCAGATCCACAAAACTTTCATATTGTGTGGCAGTAAATAGCTTTAAGTCTCAGATAAACCAAAAATAAACAATGCATTAAACGATCTGTAGTCTATTCATTTTAGATCATTTAATATACTTCTATTGTTTTGCAAATCACATACATACATACCATCTTATACACATGGTATACTATTGCAGAGGCATAGGTTCTGGCATTTTCCTCTGCATACCTCCAGTATAATTTAATGCCAAAAACCCTTTCCCTCTGTCAATCAGGGAAAAAGAACCCCAAATTCTTGCCCAACTTAAAATTGCTCTAAACAATACCCACATCCTAATATCAAAAGTATAGAAGTGCATGTTGGAGTAAAAGGAGGCCAGCGTAAAGGCTCAGAAAGCAAGAAATACCAAAAAGAGAATATCAACCTACTTGTAACCAACAATTTCCATCTTCTGAAATAGGAAATGATGCTTTTTGCCACCGCCACAGCCCAGCATCTTAGCCCTGGTGCTCTTAGAGTACGCCCTCCACCTCTGCAAGGCTCACATTTCTGGGCTGGCTCAACTGAGAGCGAGCGCACGAGAGACCAATTCCCACCCGGTCCTGTGCGAGCCTACGGCTCTTTTGTTGATTAGCCTGCCCCCCCCCCCCCGCTTCTACAGGCAACCAGCCAGGCACGTTCCTACCGCTCAAGGGATAAGAGCTAACAATGAAAGGGGAGAGCTGATATGCTAAGGGAAACCCCAAATCCCCCGACTGTTTGGGATAGTGCTAATCAGAATCTACTGTGTTCTTGTCGATCGGAAATAGTCTTATGGGTAGTGCGCAGCTACACGACTCGCCAACATACACACGCACACACACATACACAGCGGTACGTTTTAGTTTAGGGGACGATTTCCCTTTTTCTCGTTCCGCTCCTCCTCCCGCTTCCCATCCCCACCCCCACCCCCACCCGGTTAAGAAGAAAGGAACCGGAGGGACTTCGTAGAGGGGTGTGTTTTGTGCACTTGTAAAGGCAAGGAAGGATCACAAAGCCCTGAGCAGCGGAGAAGGTGCCAGGCAAACGCAACATGGGCGGGAGGGGTGGTGAGGAAGAGATTTCAGGAGGGAGGAGGGAGCGCAACCTGAGCCAACTCGGGGGTGGAGGTGGCAGCTATGGGGCGGCGGCGGCTCCCTACTCTTCCTCCCCGATGTGGCTAAATAACAAGGCAGACAATTTCTCTACTAACCGTGGTCTTGACCGGCACGTACAGCACTTGCATCCCTCCGCCACCAGCAGCACCACCACCACCACTGACCTCGTCCGGACTGCCGAGCTGGAAGCCTTTGGATTTGACCCAGAATTTAAATTTGGCATTATCCGTGGAGCTCGTCTCTGAGCCGTTCAGGAGCTGGACAATCCGCTCATATTTTTTACGGGTCACCGTCTTGGTTTTGCCCGAGTCTCCGTAAGTCCTGAGGCACCAGTCCTGAAACTGGCGATACATGTCCCGGTCACCGCTCTCCATAATCCGCCCTGAGAGACACGCACAGACCAAGCGGACCCGGGGACAGATCCCCCACACCTCCGGGGCACCTGTTCACCCCGGGCTCATGGAGAAAGAGAGCTCCAACGGCAAGAGCCAGCGAGAGAGGAGGAGATCGTCCCTGGCAATCGCTCCGTCCCCGTAGAGGGGGTTGCTTTCTGTAGGCTTGGCGATCAGTTCAAGAGTGGCCCGCCCCGGGACCCGATCATCATCTCCCCCAACTTGCTGTCCCCCTCCTCATACAATCCAGGCGAGCAAATCTGGCCGGGTTGCCTTCTCTTCCCCGTCTCCAGTACGTGAATGTCCCTTCAATGTTGTGCCAGGCAGGACTATCCCAGCGTCTCCAGCAGCGTCTCTTCCCCAGAGGATTGTGCCTCTATGGCACCGAAGAAGACATGGCCCCTGAGTAGATCGAAGCCAAAAGGTTCGAAGCCCAAATACTAATAATAATAATAATAATATCATGGAGTCGGATTCTTCTCTCCTGGGCATCAGCTTCAGCCCGGATGGTGCAGGTTGGGGGTGGGGGGAGAGAGTAAAGCCCACCCTCCACCCCAGTCAGCCAACCCTCGGCTGTCTTCCTGCGTCTATCCTGGAGGACTCCGTTTCTCCAGAAGCAGGCTGGCTGTGCAGGGTGGAGGAAAATGCTGAAGGGCAGCCTGGCTTTACTGCCCCCTTTTATTTCCCCCTAAATCTCCGCATTTTGAGTGGGAAGCTCTTGGTGGGATAGAAAGTTCTTTCCAGCTGACGAGATACAGGACACGTTGGGGAGAGAAACATCGACACCGTAGGCCACTTTTTAAATCTGGCTCGCGTTGTGTGTTTTTTTAATCGCACCGAAGTATTATCACCCCCCTCCTAATCTGAAAACATCAAATTTGGTATGAGACTGAAAGGGGCCGAGTTCAATCTGAGGAGACTATTGGCCAGTGAGTGGTGGCTGGCGGTCGGGCTGCGTTTGCAACGACGGCACTCGCTTATGGAGGACTCGCCCAGTCTAGGCTATCCTGAGATCTCCCAAAGCTTCAGGGCGTTCGAGGAAGTTTGGCGCCCGGATGTTTAAGCAGAACCATCATCCCTGCTGCCTCCCCTCCGCCAAGCGGCCCTATTATTGTCCCTTCCTTTGCTGCCGCTTCAGCTCTCGCTTGAGATTCCAGACGTCTTTGGGGCAGGCCCCCGACACTTCCCTCCTCCTCCTCCTCCACTGGAGCCAAATGGCTAACGCCGCCCAACGACCCTCCAAGCAGGCGAAGGAAGACGGCAGCTGCTCCATTCAACACCTATTCGCGGCCCGGGAAAGGGAGTTCCCATCTTCCTCCTCCACCACCACCGCCACCTCCTCCTCCTCCTCTCCGCCGCGCGAGCCTAGACACACTCCCACTCTTCCTCTCTCCGTGCGCCTTCTCTCTCATGGCTTTTGGACCCGTCCAGTCCTGCTTCTTCTCTCTGGCCGCTGCTACTTAGCCCAGCTCTCTCTTTCAGACTCTCCTCAGGCCCATGGGGGTTAAGAGGAAGTCTCATAATGGCTTTTCCTGTCCCGTCGCCTTCTCCCTCGGTGCCGCTTCCTCCATCCGAAAGGCAGCAGCACCCTTAGAGAAATGGCTGGCCTGGCACCTTGCGCGCGCCGCGCCTCTGTCTTGTCCCAGGAAGGCACTTGCAAAAAACGGTCAGTACCCGCCCGCCTCCTCAGCCTCCTCCTCCCCCCCCCCACCCCTCCGCTCTCCCGCTCTCCCCTCCCGTTCGCCTCCTCCCCCGCCTTCCTCCCCGCCAGCCGCTCTCTTCGTTCAGTGGCTCTACTGGTAGATCTCGCGGCGCAAGAACCGGGACTGACAGCCGGCGACGCAAGCTGAGCGGGAGCAAAAGCTCCTTGCTAAACCCCCGTCTCGCTCTCTGCTCCCTCCCAGCTCGTCGCCCGCTCTCCTCTGATTGGTCAGCCGGACAAAAGTTTCTGTGGAGACGGCTGAGCTGCAACGTGACGGACAGAATTGTCCCATTTAGGGATGCTGGGCAATGCGCGTGCTGCAGGCGGGCGGCTGCAGGTTAGAGAGCGCCGCGAAGGCGAGGCTAGTCTGAGCTGCGGACGGCAAGGTGGCGCTGGGGAGGAAGGAGGAGGAGGACGAGGCATCTCCACATCCTCTCCGCCACAGCCAGGTGGGGGAAGGGGGAGGGGCGTGTGAGGGAAGCGTTTCCATGGAGACTTGTTCTGGTCTAGCCTAGCCCTCCCCCCCTCCTCCCCATCTTCCCTCCCATAAGATCAGCTGACACATTATTAGCTTAGGACCTAATTATTGCTTATTGGAGCAACACTTGAGTGAGAGGGCCAGCTGCAGGAGGCAGCTCAAGCCAGGGAGGGAGGGAAGTAGTTCCACCCTCTCCTAGCCCAGGGAGCTAAGAGTCCCAAGAGGGTCCTTAACTTTCAGGGTTCCAGGCAGCCACAACCACCACCTTGTGGTGCTGCTCCCTTTCCACACATCCCGCATAATTTGTTGGTTGGTGGTGGGAATGAGAATAAAGCATTTACTTAACGAGGACCAGATGAAGCCTTTGCAAAAGATTCTTTCTCCAGGTCACTTGTATGGCGGGTTACTGGCTTCTCACTCAGCACATCCTCCTCAGAGCCACTAAGGCTGGCCTTTGCAAAAACAGAGCAGGAGGCTTCAAATGGATCTTGAGTTTCTTGTCACTCAAGTAAGTTATCACTGCCAATGGCTGAGGAAAATATCCTCATTGTGTGGAGAAAGGAACTCCCGTTTGCATTTCATGAAAGATTCTTAGATGTCCCCTGCTAAGTAAGGAGACATTCTAAAGAAAATTCAGCCAATCAGCTGCTTAGAGACACAGTTCTTGCACTATGGAGAAGTTTTTTATTTGGATAGTCCAATTCAGTGTTTTGGGAGTTTAAAAAAATCCATTCGTTTGAATTGTTTCTTAAAAGGGAGCTGTCCTAATCCTTAATATGCCTTTTGTGGCATGTTAAGGATTAATGTATCATAGCATCCTGTTTACAGAATCCCAAGGCTAAGAAGTCACAAAATAATGTTCAGGAAAGGGGAAAGGGTGAGGCAACTCTATATATGCGTATGTGAAAAAAATAATAGGATAGTTCAACGAGATCAAATAAAGAATGGCATATCTGTCATCAGTTACAGATGAAAAATATGTAGGCAACAATAACTTAGAGACTTATCATTGGTTCAAATTGATCATTATCCCAAGGCTTTATTATATAGTGTATTTAAAGACATTGTTTATATAACAATAGCACTTATAATAGTGCTAGTATAAACAATAGTACGGTATATGTCTACCACTTCATAGTGCTTTACAGCCCTCTATAAGTGGTTTACAGAGTCAGCATATTGCCCCCAACAATTTGGGTTCTCATTTTACCAACTTCAGAAGGATGGAAGGCTGAGTCAACCTTGAGCCTGGTGAGATTCGATCTGCCAAACTGCTTGCAGATGGTGATCAGCAGAAGTAGCCTGCAGTACTGCACTCTAACCACTGCACCACGATTCAGATAATGCTCAGATAACACTCTCACGCAGTTATTTAGTACACATCAGGGTATTTCTAACTGAGATGCAAACCTTTTAAGAATGATGAAGTTAAAATCTACCTGCAACTATTTTATTTTTGGTTTAGTTCCAGATAACAAACCTCTATAGTGACTAGTTGGCACAACTGATCAAGTTCATCTTAGCTGATTTGACGGCATTGGTGACCAGCCGTAGCTAATAGGCTCTTAGTATTCAAAGACAATAAGCTCCTAGTGGATGCGAAATGCCAAAAATGATGTTAATGAATATTAAGACAGGTACAGAGAAAGATAAAAGGTACACCAAACCACATTCCTTTGGTTTGCCTGGAATCCATCCAAAAAGACAATGAAGGAATTGCCTTGGAGATGCATAGTAACTTTTCCCAGGGATGACATGGAGGTGGGGTGTCATGGAGTTCATGGAGGTGGGGTGCCTCCTTTTTATATTTCACAGAACAGAACAGAGAGTATACACAACACTTGTAGTTAGCTTGGTGACACATCTCAGTGTCTTGGTTATTATTCAAATATATGCCCTACACTCAGGGATATTTTTAAGTATTCTTAGCAGACAATGCTTGTAGAAAATGAGATGATGCATCTTGTCTGTAACATGGGAAACCCAAATAGATGACCCTTTGGTAAAAAGATTAATACATGAGACATTACTTTCAAAAATGTATCTGAAAAGTATACTGTATATATTCTTTAAATATATAATAATGCTTGCCTATATGTTTGTAATTATTTATATATAAATTAAATTTATAATTTTGAGAATGATTCCCAACAGATAACCTACTATAAAGTCGTAATTAAAAGCATTCATTCAACACAAAAAGACAACATAAAATATATATAACATCCCAAAATGACATCTTCATGCTTAACAGGTTGAGTTTCCATGGAAAATTCCCCATAAGAGTAACAGATTCCTCTTCCTCAAATGGTCCATTTAAAGAAGATTACATTGTATTCCATAACCAGGGTAGCACAACAGCAAAAGTCTTTTTTTAGATGTTACTTGCTAGTTCAGTAAGAAGACTGAGAGTGGTCATGATGGCACTCCTCAAGGGTAAGACAAGGGTATCGATTTTATTGAGGGCCATATCAGGGTCCTGGATGGGCAAGTCAGCTCATTGTCACTCATACTGGGGGTGCCTGGGGTGGCCTAAGCACTCTGCCAGCAAAAACAAACTCCATTTTTAAATTAAATCACAATTTTTAATTGAAGGGATTTGGAGTACACCCACTCTGTCCAAACATACTGGGTTGGCAAAAATGATAAGGAGATAGGTGATTCTTACACATAACTGGGCCTTGAAGAATCTTTTAGGTGATGATGAGAATTGCATCCAGAAACTGAATGGCAACCAATGTAGCTTATGTAGCACTGATGACATATAGACATAATGAGATGTGCCAGTTACTATTCGTTGTGCTGCATTTATAATCTTATCTATTGAGCCAAGGTGGCGCAGTGGTTAAATGCAGCACTGCAGGCTACTGCTAGATCAGCAGTTCAGCGGTTCAAATCCCACCGGCTCAGGGTTGAC